GTTGAGTCAAGGGATGATGATGTTCTTGTCCATAGAAATGATGAAGAGGATGGCCAAGAAGCTGTTGAATTTGATGCTGAGGTGTCTACAGATGGTGACGTTCTTGTTAATGGGAACAATGGTGATGAAGAGTATGGTATGAATAATGAAGGAAATCCCTCAGTCTAAGGCATTTGGTTGGTCAACTGTAAAATTCAAAATTTTTCTCTGTTGATTAATTACTTTTTGTTGAAATACCTTTTCGATTTATACCATCCACTGGCAATGATCTAGCTAAATTTGAGACTGGTAGTCCATCCTAAATTCTCAAAAGGGTTAATTGCGAATAGACCCCTGAAGCTCTATTTGTGCGAATATCCCCCTGTAGTATTGGCCCAAGTGCGAGTACATTACCTTAGTGAACTTTTTTGACACTTTTAATTTTAAAAGTATAATTTAAAAAAGTTGGGGTTGTATCCTCACCAATAGACCGCCGCCTCAAAACCTTTTTAACGATTCTAAGAGTCAAAAAATTTACTCAGGGGGTCTATTCGCAATTGGGTGATACTACAAGAAGTCTATATGCAGTTAACCCTTCTCAAAATGTTGGAGACTCCTCCAGAAATGATATAGACCTGAAAACTTTGTGTCACCGATATATGGAGTATATCACTTAAAGTGCACTTTTTGACTCTTAATTTTTATCTTGTTTTGTATTTGTTTGTTCTATATCATTGTCTTGTATGATAAAAAAAAAGGTGAATTGGCATAAATATATTAAAATAACATGTCCTAAACCTGGACGTAGATTGATAAGTTGCAGCTTATTAGCCTTTTTTGGTAATGAAACAATGAGTCATTTAATTTGTTTAAGTGCTATTCTGCTTTTTTTAGTTTTCTTTCTTTCTTTGTTTTTATGTGTATGTATCTCTGTTTGACTAAAAGCATATATTTATGAGGATGGCATGTGTTCCTTGTAATCAAATGAATATTCTTGCAAGCATGAGCTAGCTGTATGTAAATGTTTGTGGTTTTTTATGATATTATGTGCCTATAACCTATCTTTGTAGAATAACAGCTGTTTTCTTATCTTGCAGTGCTTACTCCCCGACATTAGGGACCTTATGTGTTCGATATCAGTGTTAGAGGCCGATGTTCTTCTACAGGTGATACCATTTCACCTTTACGATTCAACATGTTAATTTTATTTGTTAAGCTACTAGCCTCTGGTTTGCATTATTCACATTGTTCATTACATATTTGTAATCATTTTCTCGTGGCAGCATTGATTTTCAGTCAACAAGTAAAATATTCTATACATCTTTGGCTTCAATATGAAACCTCTTATTTATGATTCATGTATAGCAATATTATTATTATAGTTATTATGGATTTATTCATTTACTTATCTTACTATAAGGATGAAGTCAAGTCTCAATGCAATTAAAAAAAAGAAGGGACAGCTATGTACTCTGAAAGAAGAAAATATACCTTTCAATGTGATAATAATCCATATCCCGCTAAAATCGGATACAATGCATGCGGATGTATAAGCTAATATACATGTGGATACAAAGCGGGATATAAGATAGCTAGATAATATTGAAAAAAGTATAGTTCATATGATACAAGAGAGTTCATTAATATGTTTGTTATATCTGAAAAGCTAAGATTAGATATCTTGATCATTAAAATTAACTTCAATCCATTAATTTAAGGTTTTACGGAATAGTATGGCCAATATATATTCGGATGTTTCGGATACGGATTTGGACTGCATAACTATATCCGTAACCATATTCTATCAGGTATAGATTTTAGTAACCATATTCGTATTCGTTCCTCAGATACGGATAGTTTTCTGCGCCCCTATTTGCAAGCCTTTTATTTTCTTATGCCAAGTCCTTGGAGTTCGAAACATAAACTGTTGTCATAGACATAAGTGGTCAGGGATTTTCTTTTATATTTATTTCAAGGTCTCAAAGTAAAGCACCTGAATTGTTGTATAGCATTTGGTCTAAATATCGAATAGAAACACAACTGAGAACTGAATCAGTGGTAAAGTAATGGGAATAGGGATGGGAGGTCACAAATTTAGAGCAGTCTGTGAACTTTGGATATAGATAATATTTATAGATTTATAAAATAAGGCATAGATATAAAAGTTATTAGCACAATTGATAATTGGCATTGAAATTTCATGGGTGTGAATCTTGTGATAGATGTTAGGTTAATGAATTAAGTACAGAAACCTAACGATAAGGTCTACAAGATAATAAAGTTAGGTCTACAAGATAATAAAGGTAAGTCTACAGCAGCATAAGTTCACATTATTGAAATTTTATAGCAGCATTCTTTGTTATCTTGCTTCATCAAAATTTAGTCAAAACTTCATGAACCAGGAGAAGTATTTGATATAAATTTTTGGAGGAGAGAAAAACCTGTGTCCTGTCTATATGTAAACAATCATCACTCATTTGTTCTGAAATATCTCACCAAAATCTAATCTAAAGTTCAATATGTCTTGGAAAGGAGCTTGTCAAGGTATTGTAAATTTTCTGGCCTATTTGAAGTTAGTTTAAATTAGTTTTACACAACAGATAGTAACAGTCAATTACTTCCACTTCAGAGACACTTATGTAGCCAGTGCCACTAAAAAGAGGATCTAATACAGATACCGAGATTTCAAAACTTGTTTTAAATGGATATAAGTTCTCTTTCTTCATATTCTTCCTCCTTTTGGTTGCTATAGAGATCTGATTAGTTGGAGTGACAAGCTAACTCGTGCATTATTTTGTTACTTACTGGATTATGACAGTTTGTTTGCTCGTTTTTAATGCTAAGCAGGTTTTACTAAATGAGTATACACTACGAGGTGATTTTCTACAGAATCTTCTGATCGGGATAAAATATATTTATTGATATTGTGTAGCCATCACAATTTGCTTCTTTGTGTACCATTCAATTGCTGAAGAAAGTGTACTATTGAAAGACTAGAGAAATAGAGAGGTAATAGATAGTATCACTGCGTTCTTTTTCTTCGCTGCATTTTGTTCTCCTTTGCTTCCTACACAAGTATAATTTTCAAGAGAAAAATATGTGTAATTTGAGTGCCTATAACAATGCAATTCCCGTTTTTGAGCAGGTAGATCTGATTCCTTTAACCCTTGTATCATGCCAGTGGCGTATATCCTTCCTTCACTTTTGATACTATGAAGTTCGTTCACCAAATTGTTATCTGAAGGATGTTTAGTGAGTGAATCGTGTATAATGTCTTGTGCTTCAATGTTTCTTGAGTGTAAATTGATTTATAGTGGCTCTTTGTTTCCATGTGCTGTGCCATCTTCTATCTTCTTACATGTACGGTTAATTACAGATTTTGGGGGGTACTTTATCCATTGTAAGTTGTCATTTGTCATTTTGAATATTAGGGTCCGTTTGGCAGCTCTCTACCTCTAAATCAGTTTGCGTCCGGTCTAGATCCGGATGGGGCGGGGGAAGGACCAAAACCAAATTCAATATAAAACCAAACAGCTGTTTTTAAGTTACGTGCTATAGAGCCCGCCAGGATGGCTGGGCTGGTTTGGTTTTGCTTCTCGCTCAATGGAACCAAATTCACATTCGAATGTTCTGTTGTCATATATATATATATATATATATATATATATATAAAATATATATATATAATATATATAGATTAATGGTATTCTTGTCATAGGAGGAGATTTCCTCCATTGACAGGCTGCCTAATGTGAGCAGCAATCCCCACCATGCCCTCATAAAGTAGGAGAGAGAGTGTGAGTTGGTGGGGATGTTGATGTTTACTTTATGAGGATGTGGGGATTGCGCCCATAGGCGACGAATGAGGTACAAAAAAAAAGAGGAAATTCCCTCTATGACATCAAGGATACCCATTAATCTTATACTATATATATATATATAATATATATATATATATATATAATATATATATATATATATATATATATATATATAGTATATATATATTGTTTTGATGCTGAGGATACACAGTCAATCGCACAGTTGTTCCCTCGGGCGAACACAGAGCTGGGTTTTCGTTGCTGATGACGAAGATGGATAGCGATGAGAGATGGGGGATACGAACTCCTTCCTTCAACTTTATGACTGATTCTTGAATTAAGGTATCTGGTTCTGCTACACATACAAGGAGAATAAGCCCGTAGGAGGGCAAGGACTGGTTTCCACGTTGTACCTCCGACGGTTAAGTAAGTTAATAAGTTTGAGCGAAGCTTAAGGGAAAGTCTTTTTACCATTGAGGTCTCTCTAAGGAGTATTTTGGCTTAGGTTTTTTTCCCTCCTCCCTCTGACGAAGAAGTTCCCTTCTTATAATGTGCCTTCCTGTTGACCCGTGTCTTGACCATGCACAGGAAGATGATGACAGGATGCTAGCTGGATGTAGAGTCATCCTCCTTTTTCTAGATGTCTATAGGCGACTGGAGGGGAAGTCATTTCACGCACAGAGAGGACAATTCTCGTTGTTGATATTCGGGAAGAGACTTATCAGCGAAGTATGGACAGGCTGGCCGCTGAGTCATGGCGATTGTCAGAACTGTGGTCTTGATGGAACCAGACAATGTTGCAGTGTTGGTTAGAGTGCTGATGGTTATCCTGAAGGAAGCTCAATTCGATCCTATCTTCTTTGCAGAGAGGTGTCAGCTTTTGAGATGTCATGGTAGTCCGTCGACTATACAATCGGGTGAACTTCTGGTTGAATAAACGGCCGGAAGGTTTGTCGAGTGGATTTTTGAGAAGTCATCTTTGTTATGAGATAGCTGACTAGTTCCATGTTATGTGCCAACATGGATGCCTTGTTGCTTAACCGAATCCTCAAAGTCATCCTGAGCCGGCCCTTGGCCATTAGTCTGGTTAGGGCCACGCTTTTATCTCGGAGGGTATCATTTTGTTGGTACCGGTGCTTTGAACAATGAATTATCGTAACAGTTGGCCCTTTTCACCGGGGCCCGATTTTTAGTCGGGTTCGAGTGAAATAAAAATAGGCTGCTCAGAGCGACATAAGCCGGTTTGAGGTGGGGGTGGGGGGGGGGGGGAGGGTTCGATCATGCCTGAATGACGTTAGCACAGTCTTTTCCGTCATGATTTTGCGTTTCTTGAGGGATACATTCATCAAAAATTTGAACGCGCACTTTTTAGAGTAAAAGGCGTCATAGACAGAGCGGAAGGTGTTTCATTGTGTCAGGTTGGTGTGGTTGGCGTGCAGGAGTGGCGGTCATATTTCGATGGCGAACCCGTTTCAGACATCGGAGCGGATCCTTCTTGGTTATTGTCGAGACTGTGCCCTTTCGAATTCTCCTGCGTGTCCCCCTTTGCTAGCTTATAAATATCCTCCAAGGGGCGAGGATTCCCTTACAGACCTTTTGCTTCCAAATCCATTGATCTCCATAAAAATGGGAAATTCTTCATGGCCTCTATAACTTCTGCTACCGGCTGTCTTGAAGAGAAGCTTGCAGTTCTTAGGCGTTTGCGTACAAGGGTCCGTAGGGATCAATTAGGATGGATGTGTAAGAGGTTTGATATTCCTCGGGCATTAACACTGGAAGAGCCCAAGTTGACTGAACCGGTGTTTAATCATGGTGAGGGCCGAGTGCCCTTGTATTTGGCACATCTGGAGCATGGCCTGCGGTTGCCCCTTCATCCTTTTGTTAGGGAAGTACACGTAGCTCTGGGGGTTTTCCCTTCGCAGTTCTACCCAAATGCAGTGGGAGCTCTGCTGGCCTTTGTGGTTGTCCGCTACTGTGTCGGGGTTCGACCCGGCATGAAGGTGCTTGGTCATTTGTTTAGTGTGGGGTTGGCTGAAAAGGATCCACACTACTTTTATCACTTCAGTGACGATTTCCGGCTTACTTTGGATTTTCCCTAGTGGGAAGAGGGCTGAAGAGAGCACTTTGTGTGGGTTTATGGCGGTGACGATGTTTTTGCTTGCTCGATCTGGCCAGAGGCGAATATGGATGTCTTGTGGTCGGTTGCTCTTACTGGCCTGGAGATGGAGGCGCTGGAGAAGATCCGATCCTATATCGGACCTTTGGACGTGGAGGATCTAGTGGAGGATATGTCCATGATTTTATCCTCCACTGACTTCGTGGCAAGAGCGAGCCCTCCTGTTTCTTTGCAAATGGAAGTCTGCAACAAGGGGGACGGGGCGAAGAGAGGAGGCTCTGTTGGTGGGACTTGAAAAAGGCTAAGGGGACCCTTGATGTGGAGGAGGCTTTTGGATCAATGCCATGCGTGGTCAAGGTCGCTCCCTCTATTGGTAAGACGAGGGATGAGAGAAGGAGCCTGGTCGACCCGGCGAATGCTGGGGTCCCAAAGGAATCCTCTCTGAGACTTGAATCGTCTCGTTGGTGCGGTCAGCGAGGTGGATGGCGTTGGTGGGATTTCTTCTGGTCCTGGGGATGATACTGGCGAGAGGGGTCTGAATGAAATGCCAAGTAATGACCTTCATCAAGCCCTTCGAGTCTGTTTAGCCTAGGGATCTTCGCTAGAGCATGCTTTATTCCATCGACTCGAGCATATATTGGCCGAGGAGAGATCGACCAGGGAAGAGGTAAAGAATTGGGTTGCTGCCTTGGAGGTCGAGTTGGCCGAGACAGAGAGATTGCTGGGGCTCTACCAGACCATATGTTCCAGACAGTCTAGAACTATTCTGGGTCTGGAACAAGAGGTGGGCGTTCTGAAGTCGACTGGTGACCCCCTCGGTGATTCTTCTTCGGCAGCAGCCAGGAGGCGACCAAGCCCTTTCCCTGGACCGGGTCAGGGGCATTAAAGACGTCCCCATTTCTGTGTCCCTCACCATTCCTCCCTCTTTCTCTCTCTTTTTTTTTGTAGAAGAACTATTAAAGAAATGTTGTAATAGAACAACTTTTTTGAATGAAAGTCCGACTTTTGCTTTTATTCCTAAGTATTTGGTTGAGGTCCTGTGACTTGAGTAAGTTAATCGTTTGGTGTTGACCTGTATGTAGGAGACTACAATTAGTTTACTTCCAATGCCTAGTGTTGGTTGAGCAATTCGATCGACAGGGATTCTTATTTGCTTAAGTTTGTGTCGATGAACTGTTAGGCGTGTTTTAAAGGGATCTTACCTTTAATCCCACGCGAGTGGTCACAGGGGCCTTTTTGGCCGATTGGGGTGGAGCGACAACCTGTGGGTTGGGTGCCTAGGTCTTATGTAGGCGCCTAGGTAAATTCCCCCTATGGCGAGAGGCGACGGTGGGAGTCGTCCATGGGGTTTTTGCCTTGGGTTTACTCCTGAAAAGGTACCAAAGGCTTTTTTCGACTAAGGAGTCGAATGCTTAGAATCCTTGAGGATTGACTAGGTCTTCGGGCCCTTGCGGGCTAAAAGACAACCCGTAGGTAGGGTGCCTATGTCTTACGTAGGCGCCTAGGTCTTCAAATTTCCCCCATGGCGAGAGGCGACAGTGGGAGTCGTCCATGGGGTTTTTACCTTAGGTTTATTTCTGAAAAGGTACCAAGGGCTTTTTCCGACTAAGGAGTCAAACGCCTACAATCCTTGAGGATTGACTAGGTCTTCAGGTCCTTGCGGGCTAAAAGACAACCCGTAGGTTGGGTGCCTAGATCTTACGTAGGCGCCTAGGTCTTCAAATTTACCCCATGACGAGAGGTGACGGTGGGAGTCGTCCATGGGGTTTTTGCCTTGGGTTTACTCGTAAAAAGGTACAAGGGTTTTTTCCAACTAAGGAGTCGAATGCCTCTGTTTTGATTTCCTCGTCCATTATGGTGGAAAATTTCACTGATATTTGAGATTTATACATCTCAGACTGTTGGTATTTGATGTTTGATGACTTTGGACTTCTCGGGCTCTCCTGCGTTCGTACCGGAGGTAGCTGTTGGCAGAGAGCGAAGCTTGCTGATGTAGAGTGTCTTGCTGTTTTTCGCTTTCTTCATTACTTCTTGTCGTGTGGTATGGCGAGTTGGATTGGACGTTGTTGTATATCCGGAGTTGGACGTTTGTTGTTTTTGAGAGTAGGCGACTTGGAATTTAAGTGACGACGGGTCGTCAGCACATTTGCCATTTCATCAGCCTGGGTCTTTTTGAACTTGAGTCCTTATTGAAGTCTCGCAGGCTGACAACGGAGGTGTCGATTTTTAACAGATCTTGCTTCGCAATCGTTGGTTGCCTTGAATGGCCAACCCCCCCCCACCGACTGAGCCTTTGGAGGTCAGTGCCGATCAAGGGGAGGCCAGACAACTTTTGTGATGGGGGTCAGGCTATTAATCTTCTTGAGAAGACCAACTGGTGACCCCGAGCTTTCCCCCGCCGGAGGTGATGGTACGGGGGGCCTGTCACAGATTTGATCACTGCTCCTAAGCTCGTTTGAGCTATTGCCAGTGGGAGCT